ATATATATACTGTATAAATGGCTTTGAAAAACAATTGTCTCTGCAGTGTTTCGCAATACATTTAGTCCCACCATACAGAAAACAAATTCCTGGATGTATAGTTATATTTTACTTTGTAGGTCAGGAAATTTTTGTTTGCTTTTGACATGATCTCAAGAAATAAACAGTTAATAGTAAAACAGACTGAAAACCGCTTTAAATAGCTACAATGAAAATCACAAATCCAGAGGCATGTTCAAGTTTCACCCAGAAAGTGGGATTTCCAGGTTCCAAGTGGGAAAAAAAAGCATCTGGAAGTTCCTAAAAGTTGGGATTTCGATTGAGAAAGTCAGAGGTGGCTGACAAAATGCAGACATCAAAATCCACATATGCTTGGGCATGAAAAGTTGTGATGGCTGCAATTTTTAACTTTTCATTTGTATTTGTCAGTCTGGATCTCAATAAACAGGTACCACACATACTATATTAGGGAAACGATTTAAAGCTTTGAGCGCAAACAGACTGACATGCTTCTATAACCAGAAAAACAGACGTGTCTACAATCTTTGCTTTTACAATGAGCCATAAACACACACAAAGTAAGGAAATGAAACTATTTGTTCTTTGTAGATTTTATTTGTTTTTCAAATACAGGAGAGTTAATGTACAGAAGGACAAAGAATTTCATCAAGAACTGTACAATATTTACACATCTTTTTTTTCCTTTTGTATGGAAAATTGGATTGTTTTTCAAAATAAGTCATAGTATGCACAGACATCAAAATGATAAAAATGAAATGACTATTTTCTCTTTAAATATTATTTATACTCCTCCTTCCCACATGGGAAAGGGATAGTTCTTTTTCTTTGCACCTGCATGACTGATGATTGAACTGAAGCACAACAATGTTAAGTTTCAAATAACTTTTCTTACCGTCCTTTTTTTTTTGTCTTTTGCCCATCTTTTTCTTTATTTTACACCCACTGTATTTAATACAATATTTCTGTCTCAAGGTCTGTTCTTTTGTATCGAGGGGAAGACGACTTGGATATGTGGGTTATGATTGTATACTGATCCCGTGGAAAATAAAAAGCTTTTATTAAATGTTAGAGGACAGCAAACCAGCGCTTGTGAGAGTTTAAGTTAAAAACCTCCTTATATAAATAATAAAAATGTGTTTATATATTATCACACAGCTGACTGGTGCTGCCCTTCATAYGACGACAGGGAGAGGGAGCGTTTCTTAACACTTTTTTTTTTTAATTCCTGGACGAGTCCATGATCACGCTGCTCACGGCACACTCTACACGCAGTTTAAAAAGCATTCTCGCCTTCTTCCACTCTTTTCAAAAGCCGACAGCTGATGTTAGTCTTTTCAAAAAAATAATTTATGTAAAAACTAAGCAGTAATAGTATTTTTTTTCTCTGAACTATTGTCTTTATGACACACATTTAACAAGATGTCAGTGGCTCCTCCTTTGACTAGGCGTTACGGCTCCTCCTCGTTGTCCATCCATTTTGTAGCTCTCCCTTTTTCATCAATGATCAGTGTATCCTCTTGAGCCTCTGGCGACCCCTTAATCCAATGGGGTCCAACTCTCACAAAGTAAGACGCTTTCTTTAGTGACTGATCAAAAACAAGAAAAGAAAAAAGGCCAGCGTCCGAGGTCACATCAACAAACCCTTCCGTGTTCCTCAAGGGCTTCAAAAACATCATCCTCAGATCTGAAGAGATTCAAAGACGGGTCTGGGGGCTGTACAGTGGGATCCATCTCAACTTTATGTTGGTTTTTTTTCTCTTTTAAGTCCTCTGATTCCAGCTCACTAGGTCTCTCTGTGAGGCTAACTCAGGCTTTGGTGCTGAGTGTGAGCAGCTCGATAAAGGAGTTAAAGAGGGTGTCCAGCCAGCTCTGGTTGGCCATGCACTGCTGCACCACTTCCTCTTGGCCAGGGTCCTCGGCTGCCTGCTCAATGGTGTTGGTCTGGAAAAGTGGAATGAAAACACAGACAACTTTGACCAAACTGAGGCACAAAGCCAAAAAGAAAGCATTCAACTGCTGCAGCTTTAAACTAATAATGTTTCAGCAGACTGAAATAATGTGAATTGAGTGTTGAAAATATTGCAAACAAGCACATTTTTACCTCTTTCTTGCACTGTAAGAAGGTGTGGTATTTATAGTGATGCAGAGAGTGGTAGAGACTGTATATCCGGTACATCTCAGATGACAGTTTTAGGTCCTGTAGAAAAGACATTGTCCATTTGTATCAAAACTATTTTAAGACCAAAAAAAAGGTATTATTCTGGGTTTTAAATAAAATGAACCAAGTTGAAGCAGGTTTGGCAACTTACAGCTGGTTTTACCCACTATTTACCGACATGGTTAATTTGACCAAGTCATGGTTTCACTTTTTATTCTTTAAACATTTCCACACATTTGGTTTGGGACTTTTGTCATTTCTACAAATCTTAGCTTTGCCAAATCACAAGATAAAACATGTCCTGAAGTTTTTAATGAAAATGTCACAAATAAAAAGAGTATGTTGCAAAAAAAAAAAGGACTGATCCAAGCCTCACACAGGTTTGTAATTATATTTAATATTATCACTGCTGGTCAGAGCTGTTGTGTAAAACCTTTAATAAACAAGCCGACTTGAAAAGAGCTTGTACCGATCAGCTGTGTGTGCAACCAGCAACCAGTAGAGGATATGTGATAGCAACCTGGCAATGCAAATCTTAACATCAATGAAAAACAATATTAGAAAGTCAAAGTTGTCTTCATTGAGGAGAGTAGTGAGCAGATTTGCCATGTCTGGCTCAACCAGAGAAGAGAAACATTAAAAGTTAGCTTATATTGGTCTGATTCTCGTCTAAATGTATTTCAGAATCTTTTAGAGGTCCACCATTTTTAATAAATCAAGTTCAGTTCCAGTTTAAAACTTTGTTAGACAAGCGAGAGACTTTGTTGCATTAAAGTAAATACATAAATCCCCTATTCAGCTAGTCCTTACTACTAAAATGTTATTACCTGTGGTTTAGGCAGGGTCTTCTTGACTCTGTTGAGAGTCTTTCGATTGTAAGCGTCACCAGTTAGTCGCACCCTCACCACTCCCGTGTCCAAAGGGTCAGTGATTATTTGGGGATAAGCATGCAGAACCTCCTGTCAAAAAATGGGAGAAAAATGTAAGTTATAAAAAAATAAATGGCACAACGCAACAGCTACATTAAGATGGATGCAAATAAACATTTTCTTACAACTAATATTAACGTAAAAAAAAACACCATAAAAGCTGAAAATGACAAACTGGAAATAAAAACGTTTTGTTTGGTCGTTTCTGAGCAGCATATTTAGGGCAGATTACCTGGTGTTGAGAACTCATGCTGACTTTCCTCAACAACCTCCTCTTCTGTTCGCTCAGGATGCTGTCAATCTTCCTCATTGGGGGGAGGTAGAGCTCATCTGACAGCCAATCAGGACACAAGGTTTTCATTAGTCATCCTTTCTACAGCTGCCAATCATTTTAATATCAAGGGCAAATTCAAAGTCTTCTTGGCTACAGATGCATCTACATTCCCTGTGCTCCTCGCCAACCCGCTGCACCTTGTTCACGTGAATTTGAAAAAAAGCAATTATAAGACGGATACAAATATGGATGTCTAATTGTCAACAGTTTGACCAGCTGGGCTAAAATCTTTCGCTAGTATTTCACCTGAAAAAAGCATCCTGTGATTGTTTTTTTAAAACATCTTCAGAAAACATGCTAAAAGACAACCATGTTTAGTTAGGTTTGAGACAGGTTCTCAAGCCAGTAATTACAGAGGGAGTGTGTGCTGTTCTCACCATCTGTGTCTTCCAGGGCTTGGATCATGTCCGGGTCCAGGGCTGTGCTTACCAGCATCTCCACGTAGCTCCTGAACATTTCTCTCATGGCGCGATTGTTCACTCCGCCTTTCACTGGCACTGAGGAGGTGAGAATTACACTTTAAAGCTAGCCAATGAACCTGTTAGCATTGCTCTCCAGAAAAATTTACTCTAAGCACTAATAATCAAAATCCCATCTCACTTTCATTCTCACTAGCCGCCTCATCAGATGAATCGGAGTCAGACGATGACGGTACCGATGAAGGTACATTCAGCCACTTCTTCCTCTTCTTGGGTGGGGGCTCGGCCTTCACTTTTGTTGGCTTGAACTTGGGTGGTCGTTCAGGTTTCTCCTTCTTTTCCAATGCTTTCTTGTCTTCCTTAGCTCTGCCACGTTCTGCTGCGCCCACACGTTTCTCCACCTTCTCCTGCTGCTGCTGTATCCGCTTCTCTCCTCTTTCCTGCTGTGGCTGCGCTCGCTTCTCCGCTTTTACCTGCTGTGGCTGCGCTCGCTTCTCCACCTTCTCCTGCTGCAACTGCGCTCGCTTCTCCACCTTCTCCTGCTGCAACTGCGCTCGCTTCTCCACCTTCTCCTGCTGCAACTGCGCTCGCTTCTCCACCTTCTCCTGCTGCAACTGCGCTCGCTTCTCCACCTTCTCCTGCTGCGGCTGAGCACGCTTTATTTTATCCTTCTCCTGGTCCCTCGCCTTCTCCTTTTCTTTGGCTTTTGGCACAGCGACCGCGGCCTCTTTTTTCTCAACATGTTCTTTTGCCGATGCCGTTTTTGATTTCTCCTTCTGTTCACGCTGGACAGGTGGAGGCGCTATACGCTCCTCTTTTTCTACAACTCTTGGGGGTGCCTGGCTAGCAGGAGGAGATGCCATTCTAGGGAGGGACTGTCGTCTGTTGGACATAAGAAAAAAGAAGTTTAAAACTGTACACTCAGCCTTTTTTTTAACTAACGAGACACATAAATGGTGACAATTTAACTATTAAAAACTAATTTTTGTTCCTAATGTTCAGTTTAATAAGCCTAAGAATAAAAATATTAAAGAATATTCCTACCTGAGACTTGGTGCAGTTCGGCGCCACGGTCTCCGAGAACAAACTCGGACATAGTCCTTCTTGTTGACATTCTCCAGGAACTTCACATATATTCTCTGGTACCGCCTTTTAGCATCTCCAAAGAAACCAAGATACTAAACCAGAAACAAACAAATATGATTGACTCATGTCAGAACTTTGTGACAAACATAAACCAGTAAAAGCCACAGTCTTGTAGTGAGATCTGAAACTTCAAAGAGCATTTAAATAAACATGACTGTTTGCAGGTGTGGTTAGGCCACTGGAGGTTGGGTGAACTCACATTGCTTGTGGCACAGAACTGCCTCTGCCCATCTTTGATCTCTGGGCTGAACTTCTGCAGCAAGGCTTTCTGCACCCTCCAGATAGCTGGAGGCTCGCGGCCGGTCTGCAGAGCCAGCTGTGCATAAAGACACAAAAGACAAGCCAGTGAAAAAAAAAAAAGGGTCTGCAACTTGCTGCAACAGAAAGACACATACATGGCCAGCACTGGGTTGGACCTTTTCTAACTGGTTAACAGTCAAACAAAGATGTTTCACGTCTTTAGCAAATACCTTGAGTGTTCGAATGTCTTCCACCCGCACCACAAACTCGTCTCTTTCTCTGAAGATGCCCTCCCCTCCGCTCTCGCTCTCGTCCTCTTCGCTTTCTCCAACGATGGCTGCGTCTTCTTGTTTCTGGGCGAGGTGCAGCGAGGTGATCTTTGGAGCTGGAGGCTCCTCGGGAGAGGCGGGAGATTCCGGGGACGGTGCGGGAGACTCCTTGGGTGGGGGAGGAGGGGAGGCGGGTGGAGGAGTGGCAAGCTGAGAGATGGCAGCAGCCTGGGAAGGAGGAGGCGGCGGCAGCTGCGGTAGTGGTGGCGATGGAGAAGGAGATGCGGGAGCAGCAGGGCTTGGCGGCTGGGAATCCTGTCGCTCCTCTTGTGGAGGCGGTGGTGAGGGGAGAGACAGGGGAGGGAGCGGGGAATGGGAAGGAGAGGAGGATGAGGCAGGAGATGGCGGAACGTAAGGTGGTTCAGGAGTTTCTGGCTCTGGTGGAATCTCAGGAAGAGGAGCTGAAAAACAAGAAAACAAATTAAATGAAGTCATTCCTTTAATTGTTTGACAGTTTAAGTTCTCTGTTGTTCAGGACGACGTGATYGTTGAAGCTCAGATAGAAGGCAGCTGAACTTACTTTCTTCTTCCAAAAGACATTTCACCTCTTGTCAAAACAGCTCTTTGAGTTCTGAGAATGGACTGTGAGTTTCAAGCTCATGAGATCCAGATGAGACAATCAAAGTAAAAGTATCGTAGGAGACCACAAATCACTAATCCATCAGCGCTTTGAAGGTGATAATGGTTTTAAATTATCCCGAGACAGAGATTCAAAAAACTGTGTTGTAAGTATCAGACAGGAGTGTCTTCTTCTTTAACATGTCTTTTACCAGTGTGCACAGAGATTGAAGTGCTTCTCTACCCTTTTGGCAAAGAAAGAAAAACTCATAAAGGCCACTGAAACAACTTGAAGCTGACAAAAGTAATAATGAAAAACAAAATACAAAAAGTCAGACATTGCTTAATCAGGGTTCCTACAGTTTTAAGCGCCTGTGATGTAAAATGTTTGTAATAAATATGAATGCATTTTTAGAAAGATAACATTGACAAAATATTGCAAAATAAATCTCATGTCGCTGAGATGAACAGTTGTTGAGATATTTGCCTTTAAAGTAACATGAAGTGATGTCAAAGGGGAATGTCTGCATGTGAACAGAGYTTTGCTACAACAGCTGACAACCCAGACTGTAGAGAAGAATYTGATGTTTCTTTAGATTATTTTGAGTCTCTGTCAGAGAGATGAAGAAGAGTCAGAGTTCAAATAATATTGTTTCAATAAACAAAGACCAAAGAGTTTTCTTTGTTAAAGAGTTCCCCTTTGATGTCACTTCCTGTTTCACTTTGGCTGAGCCAAACTCAAGAGAAAATATGCCAGTTATGGGACAAAATATGTTAAATTGTGCATATTATTCTAAATTTCTTAAAAATAAATGTGTTTTCTTTGACTTTTTGTGTTTTGAAGAATATGCATGTCACAGACACTTTAAAGCAAGTTAAATTTAAGACTTAAAGACTTTTTAATGCCAAGTGAAATAAAATTTAAGACCAATGTCATTATAAACACAAATGACAAAAAAAAAAAAAAGTAGCAGCAACTCAGGAATCAAAGTATTTTTGGTTGAAGTATTCAAATATTTTGCTAATAGACCAATTGTTTTAGGACCCACAGTGGGGTCTAAATCACAATTTGCTATAGATGAAACCTTAAAGTGCCTGTGACATCAAAATTTGTAAGACAAGTTAATGCATTTTTGGAAAGACAACATTACTAACATAATACAAAACAAATTTCACATTGCTCAGATGGACAGTTGTTGAGATATTTAAATGTGATGTAACAGGAAGTGATGTCAAAGGGGAATGTCTGCATGTGAATATTTAAAAAATAAATGTTACCAATTATTTTAATATTTGAGATGAATTACAATCATCCTATGTACAATGTGTTAACATTTTTAAGACTTCTGACAGATTGATTTAAGACATTTTAAGGCTAATTAAGGCCTTATTTTTGGATTGATGAATTCAATGCCCTTTAAGAGTTTTTAAGGATTTGCAGGAACCCTGTTAATTTTTGGTTTACCGGAATTAAACAGATGATTAGTTGGTGATTAGATTGTTTATGCTGTTTAAGCTCAAAAAATGATGATCGTATTATACATGAACAAATTGCAATTGACCTTGACTAAAAGGATGGTACACCTAATACGCTGCACAATTTTTTTGAGGCAATCAAGTGATTTCTGTAACTCTCTCAGACTTCTGCACCTATCCACAGGTATTTTGATTCACTCCTTGTAAGCAAACTGCTCCAGCTGTGAAGTGTTCATGTTTCAGCTTCCTCCACAGATCAAAAAAAAAAAAATTAAGTAGATCCGCTGGACAGGTTCATCTTTAATGAAACGTTTCGTCTCTCCTCCAAGAGACTTCTGTCCACCATGGACTTTGTGGACAAGGTGATGGATGTCATCATGGAGACGGATGAAACAATGGGTCTCTTTTGATGCCACATCACTCTTTATAAGTGTTCCGTTGATGAGGCGGTGGATGTGGTCTTTGTAATGTTAAAATCAGACAACACTCTTTGCGAAGAGCAACTGGGCCAACTCCTGAAAAAATGAGACTGAAGAAGACTCTTGGAGGAGAGACGAAGTTTCATTCAAGAAGAACCCATCCTACTTAATTTTTTTTTCTTTTTTTACCTGGATTATGGAGATGCATCAAGACATTCTTCCACAGATGTTCAACAGGATTTAGATCAGAGCTCAGTCTGCTACTTTGGAATATTTCAATATTTGTTCTTTGTAATTTTTTTGTTTTGGGTCCTTAAGAGGACACATGATCTGAGACTGAGACCAAAATTTCCAAAACTGGACACCTTGAAAGTCTTGACATTTACATAATTGTACTCTGCACAGAATACCTCAACCAAACCACCTTCATGTGCACTGTTCTGTGAACACACAGCTGATGAGACTTGTTGCCACTGCAGTTTTGTCCCGTTTTTCAAAAGGACATTTCTATCAGAAATTTTGGGTCTTTTTAACATGCATCATTAGCAAATTTCAGTCGTCACATTTTTATCATTTGGTGACCTCAAGAGTTTTCCAGTGTGTCCAATTTGGTTCACACAGTGACCAATACAGATATCTGACTTTGATGTAAGCTGACCTTGGAGTTCACCTCTAACCTCTTCAGAAGTTATTCTGAGTTATTATGAAGATTCAGGACACCTGTATTATACAGGCTTAAGTTTCAAAAGTTGTGAAAACCACAAAAAAGGGTGGGGAAAGCAGTCTGAACACCTATGATGTACCAAAATACAATTGCTATTTGCTTCATCTAACAAGTTTATGGTCTTTATTATATTTCTCTTTTAAAGAGGACACGTGCCTTTAAATATAGTGTTGTCACATTTAAATCATTCATTTGGGGTCTATATAAAGTGGAACTGCAGTGCTTTGGTCTGATTTTCTACTTATTGTTTGCATCCCTACTACATACTTTTGCTACTTATTTTGTAGTGCGGTTTTTAAAAAGTCTTGCTCAAGTCAAACTGTAAACAATAGTCAACAACAGTAGGTATGAGGAAAAACCAACCCATTTATTATCAACCAATGGGTTACATTTTTTCCTTTAACATAACATTCTACAATAAAATAAAGTAAAGGAAAAATAAAAATAGAAAGCCCTAAAAAATTCCCTAAAAATCCAATAAAAGCAAGCTATGCTTTTAAAGTGTAAAATAACAATTTATGTTGAATCTAACCACTGTTGGATAGAAATCCTGGAGTGGACCACTGGTATGGACTGTTTGTATTGGGAGTGCTTGTATCAATGATTTTAGATGTTGGCCGACACAATCCGATACTCGATTTTTGGCTAATATCAGACCGATATCCCGATACTAATATCGGATCGGGACATCTCTAGCATTTAACAGCTATTGCATGACATGTCTCCTTCAATAAAACATGATGTTAAGTGATGTCCAAATATGGAGTAAAACTCTAAAAGCGGCACAGTTCATGAATGAAATTAACTATTGACAAGTTGTATAAATTTGTTTTGCATTTACATAGCCCATTTACGTTAAAGTGTTTTGCAGATGAAAATGGTCCTTGTCAATTTTTGGGGGGGTCTCAAAAGGTTTTAAAAACATTTTTCTATGGCGTTTAGCTGCTCACACCCCCACGCTCACATTCAGTCCAGTACCGGATCAGTTTTAGAAAAAAAAAGTTATTTTGTTTATAGGGCCACTTAACTAACTCATTCAAGCAAGTAAGCTAGTATTGTGTTGATACATAGACAGCTTAGGAAAGATACTAATTGAAATGGGATCTTTAGGCATATTGTTACCAGCAAGCTGCCAAAAAGATAAATTTGTCCCAATTTCTTAGTAAAAATACTAAAAATAACACTTGCTAACACACAAAATGAGTGTTTTAGCACTAACAAGACAGTTTTCAAAGAGCTAGTAGCTGAATCGGTGTCATACAGTAGATGAACTGAATGATGATGTTTCTCTCACATCCTATGTCAGGTCATTGCTGCATTTTTTGTTTTAGGTTTGACACTTCTCCACCTGGCCACTCTTCTACAGTATGTTTATTTTAATGGCACAAACGCCAAAAATATGCTGTCATGATTAGATCCTGGGTTTAAAATGACCTTTAATAAAAGCAGTGAACGTTCAAAGAAAGAGGAAAACTACTGATTGAGATCACTTTAAAAGATTACAAGGTAGCCTACCAGTTTGAATGCAAAATATGAAAACATGAGGCGTGAACACAACACAGCCTTCAATCTCCTCCTTGAAAGATTTTAAAACTATTCAGAACTTTTGAAACATGCAACCGAAACACCCTTGGCCAGAAAAACTCACAGAAAACAAGTGACTCACAGGAAGGGTGAATAAGTCAACGATACTTGTGGCTTCAGTGTTTTCTTTTAAAGCGATTGTCCCGACAATAACTTCAAAGTATGAAACTATCTATTCATAATTAGAACTGAAGAGGCCTTTCAGATAACAGGTAAAACATTGAAGAAACAAAGAAAGCCAATTTGCCTTTAAATAATCTACCTGAGATTGTTTTATTGAAACAATAACGAGACATTTGGAAATCAAAAACAAAATAAAAATTAAAAAGCTATGCAAAAAAGTATCTATGCATAAAATAATTGGAAGCGGGGCAACAAATAATAAAAGACCAAACCTCACCATCAAGCTTAGGAGCACTCAGGGTTTCCAGCTGTGGTTCCCTCTCTTCTGTTATATCCTTTTCTTCATCCTCTTCAGTGCTTCTCTCTTCCTCGTTCTCCTCCTCCTCTTCCTCGTCCTCCTCCTCTTCCTTGCTCTCTTCCATGTCCCCATCTTCTGGTGGAAGGACCTCCGGTTCGTTAGACTCGGGCTGGGAGTGAGGAGTTACCACTGTTGGCTGTGGACTAAGTGTGGGAGGCTGCAACGTGGGGGTAAGAGGAGCCTGGATAGACTGAGTCTGAGGAGGTGAAGGGGGAGGTGGTAGGGGATTCTGGATGTTTGAGGTAAGCTGAGGGGTGTCGTAAAGAGCTGAAATGGCTGAGGAGATGCTCTTCTGGAGGTCCTGGTTCTTTCCAACCGAATCCTCCTCATCAGAAGAGAAAGACGGTAGAGTCTCCAGGTTTCTCTTTAGCTCATCTTCTAAGCGCTTGGGACTGGGGCAGTTGCCCAGGGCCAGGCCTCCACTGCCCTCGCCATCCCCAAAGGGAGGCGGTGGTGGTGGGGGAGGAGGTGCAGGAGACAGTGGGCGTAGACCCCCTGATTTACAGGGTGACGTTTCACCATTGTCAGGCTCCATTCCTGGTGAAATGTCCAACCCTGGTGGTCTCTTCCCTGACTTGAGGAAGTCCAAGAAAGAAGCAACAAAACCAGCTTTGGACTCGGAATCTTTCTCATCCCCCTGTAAGAAGCACAAGAGAGACCATGACTCAGCTGTAGAAGTGAACTCTGGAATTGTTAAACTATAAATCGTGTCCATTTGAATTCAGTTTTATGCAAAGAAAGAAATCTCCTAATCATTACCCTTTCCTCCAATCCTTCCTCATCCACTCCTTCACTTATCATCTGGCTTTTCTGTTTGTTCTTGTCCTGGCTTCTAGCGCTCTCTGTGCTGCAGGGAGGTCCAGGACTTAAACCAAGCGAGGGAGCTGAGCCAACGGAGCCGTCTGACAAAGCAGGGTCGGTGCCAGACAAAGAGTCTGTCCTCAGCAAGGCGTCAGAGGAGGACAAAGTACCAACTGGCAACTTGATCTGAGAAAACAAAGCAAAACAGCGATTCATCTAATAAGGATGTAAGAAATTACTAAATTTAAATTAACAGCATCCAAAACAGGACAACAAGGTTGAGTCGAACACCAACAGTGATCTGTTATCAAAATAAGAGAAAGGAAAGATAAAAAAAAAGAAATAAATAAACAGCAAGTCTGCACAGCTCAATTAAAATAATAAAAAATAATAATAATTTACAGACATATATACATAAAACTGTTGCAGTGCAACCATAAATTTTCTGTTCATTTTAAATTCATCACAGACTTGCAGACTCTTTTTTTTCCTTCACAGAATGACACCGACCTTGAGAGGTGGGATGGGCTCGTGCTGCTGCTGAGGCTGATGATGGAGCTGCTGTGTCTGCTGCTGATGGAGGTGATGCGCGTGCATCTGATCCTGCTCTTTTCCGCTCATTTCCATGTACATATCCTCTCTCCTTCCTCCTCTTCCTCGACTTCCACGGCCTCTACCCCTGCCCCGTCCTTCCACACTGAATCCCGCTCCAACTGTTGATCCACCCATATCCCCCATCATGCCTCGTGGGGTGTAGGGCTCAGGCATAGGGCGGATCCGAGGTCTGCCTCTTGGCCTAGGGGGACCCTCCCTTTTCGGCCTAGTAGGCTTTCGGCCTCGTTTTTTGGGTCCATCCGGAGGCAGGATCGAGTGTGACCCCATAGAAGAGTAGCCAGAGGTGTGGTAAAAATCAATGTCACCCATTAAAGGGCTGAGTGATCCACCTCCTCCTCCCTTTCTGCAGCTGGACACTAAATCTGGTAAAAGGTCAGGCAGTCTGCGGCTGTTCAACCTGATGTCCGCAGGTTGGTCAGCCTTATCCTCATCATCCTCAAACTCATATTCTTGAGCGTAACTTTTCTTGGGCAGTGTATTAGGATCCCTGCGTTCTTTCAGCAGATGGAAAGAGCTAGATTTGAGGAGCTTCTTGGGACGAGATGAGCAAAATATTGGAGACTGGAGGCCTCCAGAACCTGGTCCTGAGCCAGTTCCTCCAGGACCTGAGGTCATTTTAGCTCCAGAGTTGTTTGGACCAGCTGTATTGGAGCCCATACCCATAGTTGTGGCCTGGGACTGTATCAAGCCTAACTGCTCGGTGTTGACAGTGGAAGGAAGCTCGTGTGTTTTAAGGGAGTCCAGATCCAGAGTCATAGTGTTGTTGCTAGTTTCTTCCAGACTATGACAGTATTGTTCATAAGCCTGATCGCCTCCATGGTGGCCCATCATATCGTAGCTAGGTCCACCACTACCTCCTGCTCCCGCTGCACCTGGTCCACCTTTCATTGAATCCATTCCTTCTTGCCCAGCGTGGCCTTCATTCATCTCCTCCTGCCCAGGTCCTGCACCACCAGCACAGCTTGATTTGTAGTCTTCGGCACAAAACATGTCTTCCATTCCTGGGAAAAAAGAGCGGTCCTCATCTGGAAGGAGCGAGTCGGGGAAGCAGATGGACGTTAATGGTACAAACCGGTTACTTTGCTGATTCTGGTCTGCTTTCTCCACTGGGCTGACTGTGTCAAACTGATGCTGTTCTGAGCGCTGCTGGTCTAGCTGGCTCTGCTGAGGGGGGAGCTGGCTTGAGAGTGGCTGCTGTGGGTCAGGCTGAGGTTGAGGGTGAGCTGACGCAGGAGGTGGGGGTATATGGTGAGGGTGAGAAGGCTGCTGCTGAGGGTGGGGTTGGGTGTGAGGGTGATGGGAGTGGCTTTGTTGGTGCTGCTGCTGCTGCGCGTGATGCTGCGAGAGGTGGTGCATGTGGGACGGGGTGGACAGGCCGATGTCGGGCTCTGAGAGGAAGGAGTGGAGCTCGGAGGCCGAGTGTTGCTGTGAGTGGTGGGTTGGCTGTGGCTGATGGTGGGGAGGGTGCTGCCTCTGTGGCTCCTGCTGCGGCTGTCTGTGGCGCTCGCTGCTACCGCCGCTCCTCCCTGCGCTGCCTGGGCCGCCGTGTCGGTCTTCGGCCACGCCGACGTCGGCGCTGGAGGTCTGAGAGAGAGAGCGTTCCAGCATGTCCAGCGAGGACACCACGGAGCTTTGTTTCACCTGGCTCTGGTCGTGCTGATGCGGGCCACGGTTGTAGTGAGCGGCTGCCACCTCCAAAGCTTGGGACTGCAGCTGGAGCTGCAGCTGGGTAGTTTGGGACTGAGACTGAGCCTGGTGTTTACTCGTCCCCAGTCTTCCACCAGCTCCTTCCATTACAGCTTGCTGCTGGCTGATAGAGTGCTGCTGCTGCTGGGGATGAGAGTCCATTTTATGGTGCTGTTGATGCTGTGAATGAGAATCAATTTTGTGGTGCTGCTGATGCTGATGGGAGTCCATCTTCTGGTGCTGCTGATGCTGAGGGTGGGAGTCCATTTTCGAGTGTGGCTGATGCGGTGGGTGAGAATCCATCTTGTGGTGCTGTTGGTGCTGACGATGGGAGTCCATCTTGTGGTGCTGCTGCTGATGCTGCTGCTGAGAGTCCATCTTGTGGTGCGGCTGATGCGGCTCCAGTTTGTTGCGGGTGGTGTGAGACAGCACGGACTGCAGCAGGTGAGGCGGCTGACGGGACTGGTCCGTGGGGGAGTCCATGAGGGACACGGCGGCCTGAGACTGAGAGTGCTGCTGCTGGAGCTCTGGCGTCTTCCGAGGATACGGGATCTCTGCGCGCTCCTGCGGCTTCTTCTGGAGCTCCATTTGAGTGTGAGGCGGCATCTGMGAGTGCGAGGACACGTGTTGGCTGTGTGAGGAGTGCTGAGGAGCAAGAGAGTGCTGAGAGTACGGGTCGCCCCGACCGTAGTGAACAACCGAGCCAAGGTTGTCATGATGATGCAGGTGGGAATGCACCTGTTCGGTGCTGCTTCTGCCACCACTGCTTCTGCTGCTCCCGACTGATCGGTCATTCCTTTGTGGCTGTTGCTGCGGTTGATGGTGGTGCTGTTGATGCTGCTGCTGTTTCTTCAGTGACATCTCCAGCTGGTTCTCCAGCCCAGAAATGGACCCTGCAGAACCTGCACTTCCTACCCCTGCCGTGGTTGTRGCGCTGTGGGTCCGTATAACGCTCTGCGGGTGGTACCTCTCCTCGGAAGTCTTGCCCATGTCATAACTCATCCCTTTGCTCGAGTCACTGGTGGAGGGGACTGACTGGGGTTGGGGCTGTGTTTGTTGAGGTGTCTGCTGTGGCTGCTGTTGGCCATGGTGATGAGAAGCCTGAGGAGTAGGACTCGCTTGGGCTTGAAGCAGATGCTGAATCAAGAACTCTTCATCATCATCCACTTCTTCTTGAGATCTCTGAGAGCCCACTCCTAACATGGAAGTGTCTGCCTTTGATTTAGAGGAGTTCGAATGATATGACTGGGGTTGGGAGGTGGGACCCCTGGTGTCTGGGAAGCCTTGAGGGGAGGCCAAGAACGTGGGTGAGAGAACTGAGGAAATGTATTTATTTGAGCCTGCACCTCCTGGAGACTGAGTGGGGCAGGTGGGAACTGGAGAGTGCAACCCTGGACGAATGATGCCCGAGTTGCCTGAAGGGGAGGGGCTGGAATCTGGAATATGAAAAGAGCCTCCACCACTACCTCCTCCACCTCTTTCATTGGTCATACCATTTCCAGCTCCGCCTCCTGACCCAGAGTTTCCACTTCCTGTGCCACTGCTGCTTCCGCCTCCAGATGCTCCGCTGCCTGATGAGCCACTCGATCTTAAAAGGGCGGGTGAGTGGCCTGGCGCTCCGTAGCCTAATGACGGGCTGCCAGCTCCACCTAGTGAAGATGGAAGTGACCCATAAGCAGAATCAGCTCCATATATATCAGTGGAATATGAATGGCTTCGCCCTAAACTCCCATAGCCTTTCCCACCCGTACCAGAGCTCAGGTCTTGAGCTTGAGGTGAGTTAAAACCTCCATAAGACTGCGCCAGGTGGGACGTTGGGGGCTGATTAGGGGAATATGACTGTGTCTGCTGTTGGGGTGGAGTCTGACCAGTAAGAGCAGATGTAGGGGTCTTCACTGGGGGTACAGGAGAGCCATAGCCAGAGAGGCAAGATTTGGGGAGCGACTGTTGAGCTGAAGCAGAAGTGGCAGGGGGCTGTTGCTGCTGAGGTGTGGGGGGAGGTGGAGCTGCTTGAGGAGGCGGCTGTTGCCTAGAGGGAGCTGCGCTCGAGCTGGAGGTGGGAATCGAGTTAGAAGGATGAGCCCCCGAAGTGGCTGAAGAAGAAGATGACGAAGAAGAGGTAGAGGAAGCTGACGGAGGCGTGTGAGGAGTTCTCGAGGATGATGCAGAGCTTCCAGAGGAATAGCCACTACTAGAGCTGCTTTTAGTACCTTTACCAGCTGAGGAGGAAGAAGAGGAAGAGGAGGAATAGGGGGGTTGAATAATTGGCCGATACTGCTCGGTGCGAGAAGTGGGCTTGTGGTCGGATGAGGGGCTCTGGTCACCTAGTGGGCTGCAAGATAGTCCAGCATGCCTGTGGTGGGTGGCGATCTGTTGGTACCCCGCCCCTCCACAGCTGAGATAGTGCTGAAGCGAGTGAGCGGCTGAGGACGACAGCTGCGACTGGGATGGTGTTGGCCGCTGGTAGTGCTTGATGACGCTGTCCTGCCGGGGCACGGCCCGCTCTTGAGCCGAGTTAGACTGCGACTGGGACTGAGGCTGGGACTGGGCTGAGGAAAATACTGATGGATTGTACAGCTGGGAGGACTGATCCTGCAGCTGAGATGACAGCAGATTGAACTGGTGTGACTGCAGATGCCTGGCAGAGGAGGCCTGAGCCGACGTCGCGCCCGTGGGATCCTGGCTGCCCCTGTAGGCAGCAGCAGCACCCTGTGAGGACAGGAGTCGATCAAAACCCAGGCTTGACTGTGAAGGGGCTTTGATATGTATTAGAGGATCATGCGGAGAGAGTAGACCATTGGATGTCGGACTAAATGTGGGCGTGTCCTGAAGGGAAAGGGAGGCAGCAGGGAAAGAGCGGCTGGAGAACGATGCTGGATGTTGATATGCTGATAGAGCTGATGAGGAAGGGAAAGATCCAGAGCCAGGAAGGGCTCCAGAGATGAACAGTTCAGGGGGAGCAGGTGTGTGCATTGCTGTAGGAAAATGAAAAAAAGAATTGCAAAACAAGTCAGCAAGCATTAATCATTTAATACTTTTAAATAAAAGCCTTTAAAAGTAATAGCATCACAAGTTACAGTGGCATGCTTAATTTTTACTGACTATCAGAATAACAATAATACAGACAAAGGGAGTTTTTTTTAAATGTCATATTGACATTGGGTCTATTTGAATGTCAACACATCAGGGAGGATTTAACATAGCCCCACCTGTCTGCCAGGATGGCGTGCGGAACTGAGAAAGAAGGGAGGAGGCGGAGGGTGGAGGTTGAGGACCTCTGGACTCCAGGGCTGAGATCAGATTCATGACAGAGGCATCAGGAGCAGAGGGGCTGGCATGGTGCAGGCCTGTGTCAAAAAGCCCCGAAAGACCTTCAAGAAATAAATCACAAAAAATTATTTTAATATTGAAAATATAGAAAGACTGTGTGCTGAAAATATGTGAATAAAAAAAAAAAACACAATTTTTTTTTCCCCTAAAAGCAACATTTATCTGGCAAAGCAGCGGTAATCCAGCTAAAACACATTGTCAAAGGGTAAACCTGTGAGTATATTTATCACTGCAGCTGAAAACAACCAACAAGCTGTTGCAAAAATGGTTTTGGGAGACGAATGCAAGTTCTGGCATTTGCGGGTTCGACTGAATTAAGCTATAAGGTGCACATTTTTCTGTGCCGATAATCCACCAGGACCTGTGCAGACAGACACAATAATTCATTGCCAGGGCCCCTTATGGCGGTGACATGGAAGGTATGACATTTATCTTACCCAAACTCCGTCCAGCTGCTCCCCAAGCCCCGCCTTGGCCAGAGCTCCCTGGGTGGTGATTGGTAGCATAGCCCTGCAGAGGGTGTGGGGTGGCGTAGGCTTGTCGGTGAAGGAGCTCAGACTCAGGGTGGGATGATCTGGAACTCCCATAGACAAGACTAGGAAAGAAAAAGGGTAAGGGGATGGATTGTGTGGGGGGGAGATTGTGGAAGTGCCATTAATCTTAGTGTATATTAACATCATTCTAATCTGTTTCTAAATTGTGGCCCTTGAAAAAGACTGCCTGATTAACAATAAAAAGCATGTGATATATAAGTAAATTGTACTTTAATTAAAAGAATTCATGCATCAAATTTCAACGTGAGGTTATTTGGTCTCCAAGTTAAACTTGAATGTTCTTATAAAGTAATAATAAAAACACATGAACGCAATTTAATAATGAGTTATTACACAATTATAGTTTAAGTGTTTATTCCAATGTGTATTAGGTTATAAATCTGTGAAACCAGCAATTAATCATTTCTTTAAATCAGAATGATTAATTAGCAATTAACAAAACGGAAATTAAAAGATTCATCCATTACTTAATAGGAGAATGGCCATAAATTAATAAACGGATTGACATGAGGAGTTTTCACTTGCATCGTTTTTGCTTGACAAAATCCAGAATAAATGCGTGGCTGCTTGTTCAGATTCATGTTAGCATTTGTGTTGCTGGTAGCATCGTTTAGCAGCAGAAATTCAAAGACCAGGCCCGAAATGCGAGGCCAGTCTTGCGTATAAATATAGCACGGGGACCCCAAAAAGGCATCATTTGACCCAGTGAGACAACGCATCTCCCCCTAATTCGAACCACGGATAAGCAATCAGCATCTCCGTGACCACTAATTATTATGGTGATGAAGCTAACAACTGAATGATGCATGTCGACGCAAATGCACGCCGAGCTGCAGGCAAACCCCGTCAAATCGCCTGGTTTGTTTACTCAAATCAGAGTGCTCAATGCGATGTGGCCTTTTAGGCACGACCAGTGAATTAAAAACCAAATCCCAGCCGAGCTTGTTCAACGTGCAAGGAGGAGCGCAGAGGGTGAAGATGTTAACGTGCGCAGGCCTCACAGAGGCGCTAGCTCGCAGGCTAAAGCTAACATCCAGCGCTGCCTCTCAGTTTGGGCAGTTTTCATCCTTCATTCCATGCCTTTTCTTTTTTTTAATTATTATTTTGTGACACAAACAGGAAATTGCACATTTCACCCGGGAGGATGAATCTGACAAGGCTTATATTATGCAAATAAGCACAAATGACACTGTCGAGCAAAAATGCATCCAAAAATGATTGTGAACTGTGGCGGATTCCGCCTCTATAAATCTTTTCTTTCTTAGGTAGTGTAATTAAACAACCCCCTTGATTAATATGCATCAGTTTATCTTGTTGATGTCTATCGGGGGGGCTGCTGTGTGTGTGTGTATGGGGGAGAAGGAGGGGGGGGCTGCTGCGTCTGCACTCCTCGCCAGTTTCTATCATGAATCCTATGAATTTATCTATGAGGCTCTGCTTCCAGGCCTGCACACTGGGAACAATAATTCCAATGGACACTCAGACATCCCCCCACCTCCATCCATCCATGCATCCATCCCGCCAGGTCCTGCCTTAAAAAAAAAACATGTCTGTCAATCACATTCAATTCATTCCTCAACCTTTCCTTTCTCCACCCCGCCCACCCCCACGACACACACTCATCTATTCCTGTTTATAATATTTTCACCATGCAACTGTAAGGATGACAATGCGCTACCCGGTAATCATGGCGCTGTATGTTGAGGCTATTAGCTCCAAATTGTTTACATGGCTCTCATCGTGCGCTCTGCCGAAAGGCACCACGGATGCGTTTTGCACTTTTGTCTGAATCCGATGCATACCTTGCTTTTGCTGTTCTGTCGTAACTCCATCCTGCTCCTGCGCCCAAATCACCAAATCCTGTTCCCGGGTAATTTCTATCCATTTATGTCTCGTACACAAAGCGTCAGCGACGACGACAACGTAGCAGGACACAAAAATGTGGAGGAAGTCAAAGAAAAAGAAAAAAAAATCCAGTCTTTCCCGTTTTCAAGCTATTTTTCCCGGTTTCACGGGCAAGTCCTCAAGAGTGGAAAACAGCATATTCAAAGAGAAATGGTGGGGAGGAGGAGAAAGCTGGATGAAAAAAGAGAGGGGGGTCTACGGGGTTATAATCCAAGCACCTCCAAAAAAAAGCCAGTCTGTCTCCTTTTCCTGCGCTTTTCACCTTTATCATTTCCTCGAATGCAGATCGGGTCTAAAATCAGTCACGGTCATGATGAAGAGATGATTTTGGTCGCTGATGGGCGAATTGCTTTCAAACATTTGACTTGAACGCGTCCCTTTTTTTTCACCGTCTCTCCTCCCCTTTCTTCGGGCTAGTTTCGGCTACGCTGCTAGCGCTAGAAAAGATAGTAATCGACGGGGGCCACGTTGGTTGCAATCATTCCCCATAGGGCGAGCAAAGAAATCCCCAATTTGAAAATCTCTTTTTTTTTCTTCCTCTCCCTTTGCATGCAAATCGTTCCCACCCCCTTCACGGAGCGGAGCTACGGGTTAGCAGCAGATGCTAGCTGTCAGCAACGACGCATCAAAATAAAACTGGGCTGCTTTTATTTCCCAAAATACGCTCTCCTCCCCCCTTTTTGTTCTCTAACAGCCATTAAAATAAACGCGACGAAACCGCTTGCACTGGGAAAAAAATAATAACGGCACAACGAAAAAATATCTTTAAATCCGAACAAGGAAGTGTAAAGAAATAGGCCGCGTTTTAATCATTTTTACTCATTTTCCTCCGGAGACGCCATTTTTGAAGGCGGATAGCCGCTGTCCGTCCTCCCCTCTCTCTCCCCCTCAGCGTCTCACTCCGTGTCTGCTGTGACCTCCATTCACCGGTGTTATCAGTCTGCCAAACGCTCCTGCTTGCTTTCCCAGATACTCATTTTTTTCTCTCCACGGGATAACTATAAATACACACAAAAAGAGTCACCAGTTCGCTCCGCGCGTAGCGATTTGCTGTGATGCATTCAAGTGCACGTAGGAAAAAAACAAACTGATTTACAAACAGATTCATTGGCCTGCGATATAWTTTCCAGATTTGTGAGTAAAAACGTTTATTGAAATGCTGCTTTTGCTCGACAGGAAACACATGTTTCTGCTTTTATTGATATAATATAGCAGATAAATCATGTGTTTTTCTCTAATTACGTTCTTATTACAAGTGTCATACATATTCGATCTTCAGGGCCTTTGACCCAAAGAGTCAGGGGGTAAGAGGTCTCGTCTCCCTCTAAAAAATAACCCAATATCATTAAAAATACATTGAATAGATATAACTTACCGCAGTTATAATGAGAACATAATGGCCCAATCTAATAGCAAATGCCAACAAAATAAAGCAAAGATGGCAAAGGTTAGGGGCTATAGCAACAAGGTGAAATAGTAAAATGATGGGAAATTAGATAAATATGGTCCTTGATGGTTCCAAATTAAATGAATATTTGCAAAATATAAAATACGAAGTGGCTACAAAAACTAGTCTAAAATCCTGCATTAGACAAATAGTTATGTAACTATGAAAAAAAATGAGCCATATTAATATCGAATCTAACAATAATGAAAAAAATCTGTGACCTAGAACAGCTGMAAAATGTTATCTGCATGGTAGGCTACTTGCTCTGAATTTATATATTTTAAGTCTTGAGCAGTAGTGTATAAGCTACTTGCAGTATATCTACTTTATGTCMTTTTTCCATAGTAGCAAGTGTTTATGTCCCTTTTTGCTAAGCCTATTATTTGGAGGACCTGAGACTCATGCACATAATTRTTCACGCCAGCAGATGGCACACTGACTTTTAAAATAATTAAAATATAGAAGAGATCTGTACATGCTGAGGTGAGGGAGATGCTGCTTTGCTYTTGAGGTTGTTCTGAAAAGCTGTCCATGGTTAGATAAATAGTATTACCTTGTCACTGTCTGTAAGTGAACAAATAAATTAAGAGAAAAAAAATAAAAGGTAATATAAATTTGTCGTAAATGATGGTGCAGCTGCTAAATGACTCAGAACTGTTTAAATCTAATTTTTCACACACGACAGTAGGGGGTTTATTTGCATGAAAATTTGTTGCGTAAGTG